GCATAATTCAAATAGACAAGGACACATTGTTACAACCTTGTACATGTGATTATAACTAGTATATGCGAGAAATACTACGATACACTACCAAAGATTCAAAAGTTGGTGTTGATATGAAAGCTACCCAAACCCAGAGGACCATCACTGTACACATAAATATGACATCGGTTTACATGTAACACAAGTCAGATAAAACAACTAAATACCTTACACTATATTTGCTCTATTAGTAGCACATGTGCTTACGTAAATTACAGAGGTAAATTACGGTAATAATATGAGGTTATTATGAGGATACGTCAAAGTATGCACAAAGACAGTGGGAGTGGGAGTGTCGACCGTCGTGCAGTGGAGGTCGATGCGACGGTGTACTGTCCGAGTGCATACTTTGAGGTATCCTCATAATAACGTTATTATTAAACATTTTTTCCTTCCAAGGATACATCATGGGAATGCCGCAATCCAAAATGTTAAGAACAGAATCAGCGAACTTCTTTGTGTGGAGTCGGTCAAACCCTGGTGGCAGCCATTTTTGTTTTTATTATTAGAGGACATAATCATTCCATATTTAGAACTTGCATTTCCTAATATGGTAGGATGAAAATACCCCAAAATTTACAGTCACAGTGTATACTACCAGTAATAAATAATATTTTAATTATTTAGTACACAGCAGTACACATGTGATTTTCAGCTTACATGTGCTTATATTTGAGATGTACTTCTAAAAGAGCAAACACCATATGTCAATTGATTGATGGCTTTCTTCACAAAAGACAAGTTTTTGTGTTTCTCAGGAATAGCCATCAATTCAATGTCATTTTATGAATTAATTCTGGGAAAACCTTTCAGTTATAAAAAGTTGTTTTCTCGTTCAATTTCCCAGTACTAAATTTCCAAAGAAAAATTTGGTCATGAAAGTTTTTTTATGCAGATGTCCATTGCAAGTGCTTCACAGTAAAAGTGGTCGCATGTATTTTTGAAGGTAAGAAATCTGTACAGTACCTACAGTTTACAACAGATCAAAGGTATCAGCACACATCAACTTAGAAGTCTGTCTACAAAATACAACATTTACTAACCATTAAATAATTGCACAAGTTAAATGGCAGTTCAGTAGTTTTCAGATCAGCTGCATATGGTTCGATAAGACTAGGATAATTGAGGTCTATATAAACGTACAAGCAGCCTCTCGGCTGAGATAGCTCCGCTGTTAGCAATGCACATTTCAATTAAAGAACAGAAGATATCATTAGATCAGACTTGTGGTTTTT